GAGAGAGAGGAGAGGGGGGGTCACAAGATTAGGTGGGAGAGAAGGGATGGGAATTTTTTAGTATTTTGGATCAAGGGAGATAAATAAAAAGATAAAAGGAAGTCTTGGAAATGGAAATGGGAGAAGTGAGGGGGGGAGTGAAGGGTTGTCCCTTTTTAAACTTCCAGAGGGGAGGGGTCCACAGGCTTCCAGTGGACCAAGGGATGTATAATAGGACTATAAGTTAAGGCAAGGATATATGTCTTTTTCCAAATTATACTGCTATATGACTTCAGGAAAGTGAGAGAATGGCAGTGAGCCAACTACGAAGTATGGGCTGTGGAGCGCTGTATGGAACTATGAAGTATAAATATTTGGATATGATTGTGAAGATATATTATGTGATTCAATCCCATTCAATTTCATTGTTTATACTTGAGACTTAGTACTTTATTGGAGTGCATCATGAGATTTGATGTGTGATATTTAAATATTTTGTAATTTTGGCTCCTATCTAGTGCATTTATGAATATGTATATTTTTCTTATTGTTCCTAATAATGTTTTAAGTTTTTTGTTTTCTAATTTTTAGGATTTTTTCTGTTTTTCTCTCTTTGTTCAATTTCTTTCTATTTTTCATAAATCTTTTCCCCTATTTTTAAGATCTTGACCGGTCTGACTGGTAAACTAGTCCGGTTCAACCAGTCTGATCGAACTGGTGTCCCCACCAGTTTGACCTCCTGTTGAGTCTTGATGCCATTGTTCAATACCTTATTTTACAACCCTATCATGCGACTGAAAGGTTCCAAATATGAGATGAGAGATGGGTTCTCATTTAGCTACCTCTCAAACTACATAAAATCAATGGGAAATCCTGAGACAAAATGGAAAATTAGGTAGATGAATAGCTTATCTCCATCATCTTCCCATAAGTCACAAAATCCATTTTCCAAAGTAGATAGGTTTAAAACCTGAACAACATGATCATGAGTCTTTTCCACCACCACTTTACCAACCAAGCCTCCTTTCCTTTTGCAATGAGTCCAATCACTCATGATCAATAAACACCCCATCCACTATTAGCAAAGATCTAATAGAAGCACCCAGGCAAGGGGAGCTAATAGGTCCCACAGCTTCCCTCAGATATTATATACTACACAAACTAATCAGTCTTAATTCTATAATGTCCTTCAACCTCTCTCTCTTTTGGAATCAAAATTGTGTAATAATAGCTCCTAAGGCTTATCTCAACTTTTTTGTATAGGATAATAGTTTCTAAACTGTATTTGTTTCTACAATGTCTTCCATCCCCTTATGTTGGCTAGGGTCAGGACTCAGAAAAATAGTAATCACCTTAAGCTTTATCCTATCTATGAAAGAATTTCTCAAAAATCTCCAAGATGCTATTTCAGCAACTTTTTCAATGCTACAGAAAGAAAGAATGAGGGGAGGAGTACCCATTGAGATAGGTAATTCCCTTTTTTTTGATAGGTTAGTGTGGGATTTGAACCTGGAAGGTGCATGATTGCCTTGTAGCTCATATATCGTGTTTCACACCACATACTCTTCAAATGCCTTCGCAAATAGGAGATGATCCCACCCTAATTGTGGTTTATATACACCCTCCTATATACAAGATAGAGGAAAGGGGCTCAAATAAAAACAAATAAAATAACACAAAAAGTATGGCTAACCCTGAGATCAACTCCACGAATCGAAAATATGTCAACAAAATAGCACTCCCATGAAAGTGAGAAATGGAGCTGCTTAGAAATGGAATGTACTAGGTAATAAGGCTATACTTTGGAGCAGGGGTCACAGATAGTTAATACCAAACCACCTTCCCAGATTGTGTTTCCTATACTTTCAATTTCAAATGTATTATGTTCCCTATTCCGCAGCAAGGATCACAGATAGTTAATACCAAAACCACCTTCCCAGATTGTGTTTCCCAAACTGTTCATAATAACTATCGTACATTACTTTGATTATGGAATGAAAGGACAAACTGAAAAGCCGACATTTTAAGTAGCAAGAACTACAGATCTAACAATCTAATTCACTTTCAATTTCTATCCTTAAGATAGGTAATTTGTTGCTAGCTCAGAACATTCCACAGTCTTAGCTCTTCCTGTACGTCAATTTGAGAGGACCCATCATGATCACAATAATTGTCACCTTTGGACTTCAGGTTTTTTTGCACTTAAGTTCCAGGAACAGTCAGTCTTTAACTAAGAAATACAGACTTGAATCAATGTTCAGAAACTGTTTTTCTTTAGAATGTAATTCTGTAACCTATTGATGGTTACAATACAGTAATGAAAACTAGTATAATACACTCAAAAGGAAATCTCCAATGAACAAATAAAAAACTTACAGCCTCAGGAATAGTTACCTGGATCACTGTCTTTGAGCCGACAAATGCTTCAATTTTCTTCCAGTCCCGATCAAATCTGAAAAGGAATGAAAGCAAAACCACATTTTCAAAGTTTATCACAGCATTTCTCATTCAAAAAACAATACCACTTGCAAACCAATTATAAGCTCATACGTGACAATCCCTACTCCACGAGAAGCTAAAAATCATGAGCCAAAGCAATAGCTTGATTCTCAGAAAAAAGTTTTAAACAGCTTGATTTTCAGGCAATGTTTTTTTTGGGAGCAAGCACCCTAAAACACAGAGTCAGACATGCACAATCAAAAGGACCAAATCCACCCAAATTATAAAAAAGCTCAAACATAACAATTCACCCACATTATAAGAAAGCTCAAACATAACAATTCCTAGAAAGCAATGGAAACTGCAGAAAATATCAGAGCTTGAGGCCCATATCACCTAAACACAACAAGAAGCTTCTTGAAAAAGGAAAAAACCAACCGCCGACGACTTCATTCCTAATAAAATAAAACCTAATAATATGAAGGACCTATTAAAAAGATAACTAAAACCCAGCAAAAGGGGAGAGGAAAGAGGTGGTCCATGTATTAGACAAGTCAGGAAACAGAGTAAAGCACATTTCTTCCATGAATGACTCCAAACCCATATTGGGTTCACAAGGAGGAGAGATAAAGAGAGGAAAGAGAAAGAAATGAGACAAAGAGAGAGAGAGGGAGTTACAGTTGCAGAGCCTCGAGGAACTTGTCATGCTCCTGTTCAGTCCAGCTCTCTCTGGACTTTGTGATGGTGTACGGCTTTCTTATCTTCTTGCTGGAATCGTCTGAGGAGGTCGTAAGGGACCCTAAGCTCGGAAGCGCCATTATTCTCCACAGAACTAGGTCGAACAAAAATGCAGAAGCAAACCATGAGAGAGAAAGAGAGTGTGGTCTCAATCTCAATAAAAGTCACAGTCGTTGTTACTTGGGCTTAATGTGTGGCCATGGCTGACCAAACCACTGTGTAAAGTAATTGAAACGTACTCCCTCTCTTTCGAAGCGTCAACAAACGGACCTTTAAGTTTCAATAAAATAAAAGCTGCGTACGTGCGTCTCACTGCCCGTGAATCACCGGAGCATGTGCGTTGGTATTTGAGGATGGAATATAAAAAAAGGGCAAAAAATTTATATAGAGCCCAGGCTCTAAATAATCAAATTAGGTCCACCTCAAATATTTCACTAAAATAGGTTGTTTTGACGTCTAAATATCATCAAATAGATCATCTTGACGTCATGGTGTATCAAATAGATCATCTTGACATCATGGTGTATGGACATGAAAAAAGATTAGATTTTAAGTTTTGAAAATAGTGTATCTTCTAACGTATTGTTGGGCGGTCAATTTTTTAAATTTTCACGTTTTTACGGTTCGGCTCGATCAACCGTATTTTTTGAAACATTAAATTTTATAATAAATATAAAAATATATTTTAAGGTTAGAGAAAATTTTATATAAAGTCAAGGCTCTAAACAACCAAATTAGAGCCCACCTCAAAAATTTTGCTAGAAGAGGTTTGATGCCTAAATATCCTCAAATTGATCATCTCAACATCAAGATACATGTACATGAGAAAAAAATAGATTTCAAGTTTTGATAATAGTGCATCTTGTGACACATTTGTGGACCGTCAATTTTCAAGATGTTTAAATGTTCATAGATTTGCTTGATCTATACTATTTTTTAACCTTTAAATGTTATAATTAAAGATGAAAATATATTTTAAGGCTATCACAAAGATTTTCAATATTGAAACCACATTTTTTGTTACTATTTGAAGGTAGGCTCTTATTTGATTGTTTAGAGCCTCGGCTCCATACAAACCGCACCAAAAAAAATGATACCAAAACACGCAAGGAGAAAAAAAAAAAGATGAAAATAGAAGGAAATGAGGTGACGTCAGGTCGCCAGCCCGGGGAGGAAATTTAGAGAATCGAAAGCCACGTGGCACGGCAAGGCCAAGTTATTGCCACTTTGTTTGCACTAATTTTTGAAAAGATATGAAAAAGGTTCCAAAATTGTACCACAAGACGACGAATTAAATTGGAGCGTGTATGTTTATATTTGCATATCAATCAAATACTTCTTAAAAAATATTAAAACTTTTATGATTTACTCTTGTTAAGGGTAATAGGATAATTTTATCTCTAAAAAGGAACTCTTAATTGTTGAGATTTCCGTTCACCAAATAGGATAAAATGGAATTTATTAAACTTTTTATGAGGAAGTATGTAATTGATATAAAGAAATAGATGATCTTTTGATAGATTGCTCAAAGTCAAATTGTCTATTTGTATTTTGGTGGCACCAGAGAGTGGGGGTTTTAAGTAAAATTTTGATGGGAGTTCTTTGGCTAATCTAGGTTTGGTGGGCATGGGAGGTGTGCTGCATGACTGTTTTGGAGAGATCATCTTCTCATATGCTGGCTCTCTTGGTTAGCCACGGCTAACCAATTGGAGTTACTGACTTTGCTCCAATGAATTAAAATTTTCATCTCTAAAAACCTTGGGAGTAGCTGCATTATTGAAATGGACTCTTTGAATGCAATTAGATAATGCAAATTAGATGGTGCAAGAAGGAGTTGCGTACTCTTTGGAAATTAAGGTATAATTGGCTGCAGATTGTGGATTTGGTGGCTCCACTCCCAATTTTGTTTTGCCATGTTTATCGTAAAGTGAATTATTTGGTTGACTCTCTTGCTAAAGGAGGGGCTTCATTGCGCACTCTAGTTATTTATTCTGATGTAATTTCTTTTGAGTAGATTTTTTTAATAAAGAAAGGAATATTTGTCTAAAAAAAGTATTTAATTGATATCAAAATTTAAAAACATAACTTCAAGTATAATTATAATCTTTCAACCCCTTGAGTGATATTGTAAGGGGTTACAATTTTATTTATTTTATTTATATTTTTCCTTTTATTTTTATACCATTGCTCAAATTTTGTTCCCTTTATGCTATGCTTCTTTTTCATGGCATCAAAGCTAAACCTCTTCTCCCCCTTTCTACTTTTGCCATAATGGAAGTGTACAATGTATATTATTGCATAATAGATTTGTACTAAATACTAATAATGGGATGTGGTTTGCATAAGTTTACAACGTAAAATATTCAAAGTCAGGCTTACCACCAAATTTTATGATAGAATAGAAGTTTCATGTTATTGGTTAAAATATATATATATATATATATATGTATAATTTTCATGTCAAAGATTTTTAAAATGGCTTGATAATCTATTTTTATGTCCAATTATAAAATTTTAAACTTAAAAAATGGTTTAAATCAAGTAGATTATAAATATATGAAAACCTTGAAAATAGATGGTCGAGATAATGTGTTGTGAGATATACTGTTTTTGGGAGTCGAAATCTTTTTTTCTTTTTATATATTCATAGATCTCTGTGTCGAAATGATCAATTAAAGTGTTTTTCAGCTTCAAAACAGCTTTTTACAATAAATATTTTAAAGTGCACCTTCATTCTATATTTTTAGATTGCAAACTTATTAAAATTTTTCCTTAATAATATTACACGTAATTTTTTTAATAAAATATATATTATTTTCCATTAAAATATATAATATTTAGACCGTGTTTGATTGCTAGAACGTTTGGAAAAGATTCTAGTTCTACAAACTGTACAGTCTTACATTTGCTACGTGAGAGTGGAAGGTAGCTTTCCATGCTAAACAAAGCTAAAAACATTATTTTAGGAAGTATTTGCTACGTGAGAGTGGAAGGTAGCTTTCCATGCTAAACAAAGCTAAAAACATTATTTTAGGAAGTTACTCCTGCTAGTATTTTTGGTTTGAAAAATACTTATATAAGTATTTCAAAACAACATTATAGTTTTATTATTCTTTCCTAAATTGCGTTGTAGAGAGAAAAAGACGTAGGTTTGAGTCCTATATTGAAGAGGGTAGAGTTTGTTGAGGTATATTTAAGAGCACTCATTCCCATGCAATATACTCTAAGTACAAATGAGAAAGAAGACATGTGTGGAGCACGCAACGCGTGATGGCGTATTTTGCACTTCGCATGGGTGCATAGCTCGTTAACTTTTTGTGAACCCGGCCAGTAGATGAATCCAACGGTCTTCTAGTCTTCAATGAGTATTGGTCATGTAGCCCGCTATCTTTTTGTGAGCATGTAGCCGTCGAAGAGTGTCGGTCATGTAGCCTTCAAATAGTGTCGGTTATGTAGCCATCAAATAGTGTGGGACATCCAACACGCATCTAGCCGTTGATGAGATGGAGGCTTACAACAGCAGCATTCAAGTACATGTAACTTATGTACCTTGTAGCTATTGGGGTATATGTAACTCATGTAACTTGTAGCTATTGAGGTACATGTAACTCATGTAACTTATAACTATTGGGTGATGTATGTAACCACCATAATACTAAATGAGCAGCTTCTTGGTGCTCTATAACAAGGGCTCTCCTTCTCATACGTGTAAGAACTTTTTTAGGACACTTAGAACAATTTTTTAGCCTCTTTGAAGAAACTATTATATGCAAACAAGTGGGCTAACTCTCTCTCTCTCTCGTGGGAGGCAAGGCGACACAGGGGGATAGGG